TCAGCAGCAGCTCTCAAATATTCATCACACATACTACTGGTATTGCTAAAGCATACATACTGCTGAGTTTACCTCTACTACTTTCATACCAAATTCCCCATTTATGAATAAAGATGGAAACACAGTAGACAAGCATCATGCAAGGATGAGTGCATTCACATCTGCTATTAACAATCCTCTCGGGTGGTCCGATCACAAGTGAATAGTGGTGACTACAGGTGTAATAGGGTCTTAGAGATGCATAGTGAGCAAATCACTCAAAAATGTGTGGAAAAGACTGAGCTTATGAATATTAACTAGCCAAGTGTTTTTAAAGTTTCACTTCTGTTGGAGAACTTTGTCCCCGAGTGATGAAGGTAAGACTGATGGAAACTTTCAATTTTACATCAATCATGGTAATGGAAATCGATGCAAAAGCAGAGAGAGCGAGAGAGAAGAGAGAGAGATGTGAATCAGCAGTCCATCCCAGCCGCAGTGTGAGAATGCCCATATAAGGACACAGGCCTCCTAACCCCGCCCCCGGACTGTGATGTGGGCTGAATAAGAGAGGTAAAGGGCAAAGGAAGAGAGCAAGATAATGAGAGCATTAGTGACACACATTCAGGAAGATGAGCAATGACCTGGAACACCTACAATCTCAATGAGACCCAACATAAACATTTCCATTTCTTTCAGTTACTTCCTTAAAAAATTCCAAAGGAAATTCAAGTTCATTCAGGTTATCCAAACAGCCTTAATAGTGCGTTTGAGGACTGCAGGTAGTCACCGTCTAATGTGGGATAATCCTTTCCAACGCCAAAATCTAAGAATATATTTAATGCTACTTTTATATGAATGGCCACACATGCAAGTTTTGTTGACCTTTGTGGTATATTTAAGGTGAAAGAAGCTTTCTTCAAGGACAAGGGTTGTTTCCACATTAAAAAACCTCAAACAAAACAAACTCAAACTTCTTTTAAAACTTTATTTAGAACTAGTTTGGATAAAGCAGTGTCCGTAATTCACTTGACTGAGTAATACTTAATAATAGTGATATACAAAATTACATTTTTAAAACTGTAGTTGGGTTTTCTGAATCATTAGTCAATTATTTTGGTGACTAATCATTCATCTGATCTGATTAGAGTCATGTAAAGTCATGTAACCACAAAAGAGTGTCACGGTCCACTACTTCCAATCCTGTTCCTGCAATCCCACTCAAACCTCCTGCATCATCTCATCCAACACCTGAGCAGTCACATGACAACATGAGTCACATGAAGGACCGCTAAACCAGGAGCTTTACGACCCACCACAGCCGGAAAGTGAAAATGAAGGACTGATCAGAGAGTGCTTCCCAACGATCCGTTCAACCGGAAGCCATTCAAGTTCAGTCAGTTGTGCAATCCGAGATATGCGACAGTGTCTGTTGGTCATGTGATGTGGGTGTGTCCATAAGACAGAGTTTAAAGGGATAGTTCACACAACATGACAATTCTGTCATAATTTACTCACCCACATGTCATTGAAGTTCATAAAGAGATCATAAACCTAATCCATATGAATTGAACAATTTAATCCAAGTCTTCTGAAGAGACATGATCGATTTAAATGATAACAGATTTATAAACATTGATCAATGCACTAGGGATGAAATTATTTGATAAAAGCCGTTGATAAAAAGTCCAGACGTT